TAGTACCTCTCGGAGGGAAAGCTAACAGACGCTCGCAAGGTATGTTTCTTTCTTAATCCTACGTCGCTGATTTCCTCTAGATTCGATGACAGGCATGTGGTTGTGCGACCACGGTAATATATTAATGTTTCGGTGAGTCTTTTCTTCGATATGAGCGTCACGACTTCGCTGACAGTGTCTTTAGTTTCCTTCAGATGTGTGCATGTGAGTAAGACGACCTCAAGTGCAAGACGCTCGACGCTCTGATTACCGGCATCATCGTCGTCAACCGAGCCTCCCCTGGGAGAGCGTCGACCTTGTCGTGGTCCAGGGGCTTTAGTACCCCAGAGTCCGATCCTCTGGGTGAAACTAACCGACGCTCGCAAGGTACGTTTCCTGCTTGATAATTTGTCGCTGATGTTCTCTAGATTCTCTTACAGGCGTGTGATTGTACGACCGCGGTAATATTAATGTTTGGTGAGTCTTCTTCTTCGATGTGAGCATCACTTCGCTGACAGTCTCTTTAGTTTCCTTCAGATGTGTGCGTGTGAGTAAGAAGACCTCAAGTGCAAGACGCTCGACGCTCTGATTACCGGCATCATCGTCGTCAACCGAGCCTCTCCTGGGAGAGCGTCGACCTTGCCGTGGTCCAGGGGCTCTAGTACCTCGGAGTCCGTTCCTCTGAGCGAAGCCAACTGACGCTTACTCACAGGTGAGTGGGTTCGTGCTTCAATCCTCATATTTCTTCTGACTCGTTCTGTTCAGTTTTATTTCAGCTACGAAGCTCAAGACGATCGACGCCCTGACCGTCAACACTCGGGCACGACGACGAGTCCGGTCGACGACTCCATTCAAGCACGACGTCAACAACCGGCGGCGGTCTCTGGGGTATTTTGGGCTGGGCTTCTGGGGCATCTTGGGCCGAGTCTGGCTGCTCTATTCGTCTGCTGGGTCTCGCGGGCTTGGTCTCTATGTTGCTGGGCTTGGGCTGGTCTTTCTAGGGCTAGGCGACATCGAAATCGACCTCACGACCGAGCTCAAGTACGACATCGACATCGCTCACGACCGAGCTCAAGTACGACATCGACATCGACCTCACGAGCGAGATCAAGCACGACTTCGACACCGAGCTCCAACGAGCTTCAAGACCGGTCCCCTGGGAGAGCGTAGACCTTGCCGTGGTCCAGGGGCTTTAGTACCCCAGAGTCCGATCCTCTGGGGGAAACTAACAGACGCTCGCAAGGTACGTTTCCTACTTGAAATCATGTCGCTGATTTCCTCTAGATTCTCCTACAGGGCATCTTCGTTCTCACTCTTTCGCTTTAGCTCTCATCTTTTCACTCTCGCTTTCCTCTTTACGCTCTCGCTTTCCTCTTTGCGCTCTCGCTTTCCTCTCCTCTCTCGCTGTCCTCTTTACTCTTCCTTGGGCCATCTCTATATTCATCTCTCTATGCTTGTCTCAAGTCTTCAGCTTGAGCCCCTCCCCTGGGAGAGCGTCGACCTTGCCGTGGTCCAGGGGCTTTAGTACCACAGAGTCCGATCCTCTGTGGGAAACTAACAGACGCTCACAAGGTACGTTTCCTCTTCATACTATATTGCTGATTTCCTCTGGATTCACTTACAGGCGTGTGATTGTACGGCCGATGTCCGACACGAAACTGACAGACGCTACGCGAAACGTATCTAAATATGTGAGTCTGTTATTCTTTGACGCGAACATCATGACTGCGCTGACATTCTCTTTTTTCTTACAGATGTGTGTGTATGTGAGAGTAAGCAGACCTCAAGTTCAAGATGCTCGACGCTCTGATTTTCGACATCATCGTCTTCAACCGAGCCTCCCCTGGGAGAGCGTCGACCTTGTCGTGGTCCAGGGGCTTTAGTACCCCGGAGTCCGATCCTCTAGGGGCAACTAACAGACGCTCGCAGTATAGGTACTATACTGACCTGTGAGTTTTTCTTACCTCCTGGCCTCTTCATAAAGCTTTTACAGGTGTGAGTATCGTAAGGTTCCTCAGTCACTGGGTCGGCGCTCTCGCGACGCGGCCTGTGGCAACACTTCTGCTTGGGCAACACTGTGAAGCTCAGACGACCTCTTCCTCAGCTGTCACTCTCTTCGTCCACCCACTCACCCATCGTCGTCCTTGCTCTGAAGCTCAGGCAATCTACGCTTTCTCTCCCTTTCGCTCTCGCTTTTATCTTTTCGCTCACTCACTTTATCTTTACTCTTCTCTACGGCGACACCCTTGGGCCATCTCTATGCTTGTCTCAAGTATTCAGCTTGAGCCCCTCCACTCGTGTGGAGTCGACCTTGTCGTGATCCGGGGGCTAGTCTTGCCAGAGCTACGCGACATCAACGACGACAGTGACATCAACACGATATCGACGCCGGGCTTCAAGAGCTTCAATACCGGTCCCTTGGTATGGCGTTGACCTTGTCGTGGTCCAGGGGCTCTAGTACCTCAGAGTCCGATCCTCTGAGGGAAGCCAACAAACGCCTACTAACAGGTGAGTGGTTTGGTACCTCGCTTCGCATGTCAATTCTGACGCGTCTCGTGCAGTTCTTTTTCTACAGGTGTGTTACTCTCTTCGCCCGCCCGCCCGCCCGCCCACTCATCATCGTGCTTGATCTCAAGCTTAGGCGACATCTGCTTCTCTCCCTTACACTCTCACTTTTCTCTGTTCTCTCCGCTTCGTATAATATCTCCTCTACAGCGACACCCTTGGGCCGTCTCGACATTTTTCCCTCTGTCCTTGTCTCAAGTCTTCAGCTTGAGCCCCTCCACTGGTATGGCGTCGTCCTTCTCGTGGTGTTAATCGATGCGGCGCGCGTATCTTCTGACGGACCTTCTGCAGTCTTCTTCCAGATGTGTGAGCGTGTGTCTGGTAAGCTCAAGATGATCGACGCTCTGATCACAACAGTCGAGTACGACGACGATTCCGATCGACGACCTCAATCAAGCACGACATCAACACCCGACGGCGGTCACCTCTGGGGCGTCTTGACCCGATGGGTCTCTGGGTATGCTGGGTTTCTGGGTCTGCTGGTTCTCGTCGTCTCTTGTTCTGCTGGCTCTCGTGCGAGGCTTGTCTTCTATGTCGCTGGGGATGGAGCTGGTCCTCCTGGAGCTAGGCGACACCACCGACGACACCGACACCGACACCAACACTGACAACGCATCAAACACGACATCGACACCGGGCTTCAAGAGCTTCAAGACCGGCCCCCTGGTACGGCGTTGACCTTGTCGTGGTCCAGGGGCTCTAGTACCTCAGAGTCCGATCCTCTGAGGGAAGCCAACAAACGCCTACTAACAGGTGAGTGGATTGACGCTTCGATTAACATGTCCTTTCTGACGCGTCTCGTGCAGTTTTTTCTCACAGATGTGTTACTCTCTTCGCCCACCTACCCACCCACCCATCATCACCCTTGCTCTCAAGCTTAGGCAACATCTGCTTCTCACCCTTACGCTCTCGCTTTCATCTTTTCGCTCTCGCTTTTATCTTGACACCCTTGGGCCATCTCTATCTCTTTCTCTCCGTGCTTGTCTCAAGTCTTCAGCTTGAGCCCTCCCCTGGTATGGCGTCGACCTTGTCGTGGTCCGGGGGCCCTAGTACCTCAGAGTCCGATCCTCTGAGCGAAGCCAACAGACGCTTAGGTGAGTCAATTTCCTCGTGCTCCTTGTCTGTGATATTATCGGAGATTCGTAGAGGTATTCGAAGGAGGAGTTTGCGCGCATGTATTATTCGTAATAATAGAGCTCCGTAATGTGAACTTGAATTCTACACAATACTTTCCTTCTTGTCATCGTGCCCGGCTCCTGAGTTCAGCCTTCAAGCTCAATACAAGGATCGGCCTGGATAAGGAAGAGCTCCGGACTTGGGCCTAGCTACCCCTAAGCATCGAAAACTTTCCACTGTTCCAGGCTGTATTACGCCCAAATCAACCTGATCGTAATGCTTACATATCTCGCCTGTTAACCTGATTGCGAGCATGACCATGGAATTGGGAGATACTGTACATCACAGAGAAGGTAGTGTATAGTTGGAGGAAATATTTATGAGACCGTCGAAGGTGACGCCGGGCTATTTGGCTAGGGCACTGATCACAGACGGTGCCGCGAGTAACTGGGAGTGTTGACTCACAACGAACGTCTTCTAGTACTCTCTACATGGTCTTCACCTCCACAACTTCTCTATCCTCTCCGATCACAACCGTTAACAGTCTTCCACCTCTCTGCTCCTCGTCTCCTTCGGCCTGTTTACTCCTCAACCACCGCGGACGAACAGGCTCTGCCGACCGTGGGTTCGTCCCTCCAACAGTGATGCTATCGCCGAAGAAGTGATAACCCGGGATATAACGATCTATAAAGACCTTGACTTGCTCGTCCGTCATGCCTTTCCCGCCATTTCGTGCCTTCATGGCGTGTTCTTGCTGTAGACGCCACTTGTAGATATGGACGTATGGATGAGAGTCGAGAGGTGAGATCTATACAACGAGACAGGAGAGGACGGTGTTTGTAATTGAGTATCGTTAGAGTCGGAGACATCGTACCTTCACAAAGATATCAAACATTTCCCACCATTTGACATAGCTCGCCAGAATCTCGTTCACCTCCAGAACCTGTTCCTCACCTACACCAACCTCCCCCAGATCTAGTCTTAGCGGACCTTCCTCTAGACCCTTGATGTTCTCCGCTAGCCGTTTCCTAATATCGTCTTCGCTCTTCGGGCAAAACCCAACACACCATCCTTCAAAGAGGACGACATCGATCGGGCCATCCACCGTCCTCCAATCCGCCTCTGGAACCCTATCGCCCTCTCCGTTGAATTGGCTCTTGTCAAAGCTGGGAAGCTTCAGCGTTGACGTAGACGCAGGGTCATTGATGTTCTCGAGCGCGGTCAAAGTTCGTAGCCCGAGCTGTATGTCATGAGTTCCAGGTTGTCCACGCCCTCGCAGAAGTGGGTTGTTCGGATGTGAAGTGGCGAGTGCGGCTAGTCCATCGTGAGGCAAGTAGAGATCGTCAATGGAGAGCGTGGCTACGCGTAGCCCAGCATCCTGAGCGAGCGAAGAAGCGACGTGCTCTGTGAGAAATGTCTTGCCGGATCCTTGAGGGCCTTGAATCGCTACGAAGAGTGGTTTGGCGCGGGCTCGTGATGGTGGGGGAGATGGTACATGTGATAAAATGTGCTGGACAATGGGTGGCACCGCGGCGGGCTTGGTACTCATCTTACTCGTCGTCAACGATGGTGGTGATGATACGAAGTATAGAGATGCATTTCGCAGACAGAATCACATTATCCTGCCCATTATCGAGGTCATGGTCACAGGATCGTTCGGCTGGCAGGCGGACCGCCGTAATGGTAATGCAAGGTATAGACGATGTGACCTTTTCTATGTCTCCGCTCATCCTGGACAAGGATACCGACGTCGACTAGCCTGAGTACTTCCCGGGTAATTGTTGTTGACAGTAGTTGTAATGGAGGGATGTTCAATGGCGCGTCTCTACACTTTGTGCTTGCGATCATAGTCCGACTCGCAAGTTTCCGAGAGGCAATGTGTCTCTTCCAAGGGTCGAGCACGAAAATATAGGATAAATAAGGATATGTCTGATTCCAAGTAAAGATAGATGTACGGCCAATATATCGTGTCCAAACCGCACCAACAGCGTCAAAGTCCACCAGATTTCCCACCCAACGCCAAAGGGAATGCGATACAAAAGAAAACGAAAGAAAAGCGTCCTCACTCCGGGGTATACTGCGGCGGTAACCTCACCGGTTCTTCAAACCCTCTCAATCCACTATCCCTCTCTAATAGCACCGGCGTTGACCCGATACCCGTTGACGCGCCTAACGAAGCACCTACAGCAGACGACGAGACCTCAGATCCTGATCGTGGTCGGTCTGCGATGTGCGTGTTAGGTGGAAGGACGGATGATGAAGCAGTGGCAGGGACGGGTCCTGTAATATGAGTATACATGTCGAGTTTTCGGGATTGAGAAGAGATAGCGTTGGAGGCGGAGATGTAGCCCGAGTTGTCGGCTGAAGGTATGTTGGGGTCGATGGGATCGGCAGAGGTGGAAGGGCTTGGTAAGAATGAGAGTGTGCTCGGGGACAGGTTGGGGAGGAAGGGCGTAGCGGTGATGGTATAGTTCGACTGGGCCCGCTGTCGCTGGTACATCCCCATCGGCATACCCTGCCCCTGCCCCTCACCATCCTGATACCCATGAACATCACCATACCCTTCTGTGGGAGCATAGCGATCCTCGGCAGCCACATCAAACCTGCCCTTCGACGCATATCCATTCTTGTCTCGCCTTCGTCGCAGCCAAAAGAAGATTGCCAGGCCTATGGCGGCGAGGGCCACCACACCACCAACAACGCCACCAGCAATTGCGCCGACGTTCGTTCCACTCGAACCGCCATCGCCATTATCGCTTCCGGTGGATCCACCCCCACCGCCACTACTTCCGCCATTTCCAGTCCCGCCACTCGAACCTGACCCCGACCCAGAGGTTGTAGCCAACTCCGTCACAAAAGCATTCCCTGTCTGCAACAACACATAATCCAAGTAAAACGCGTTGGCGTCTTTGGCCTGGATCTCCAACGTGTGTGAGTCGCCCGAGGAAGGTGTTGCGGTGAGAATTTCGAAGTTGTATATAGGATATGCCGAGCCCGAGGATGGAGTGATGAGTTGAGATGGGGAGCCGTCGAGGGTATAGGAGCCGAGTGAACCGGAACTGGTATTGGCTATGAGCATGGCGTACGCTCGGATCGTTGAGACACCTATGAATGAATTGTACAGCTATTAGTACGAGTGTTATCGGAGAATCGAGTGAGACGCGGAGAATAGGGATAGGACGTACCCGTGAAGTTAAGCGTGACTGTCGAGGATGAACTCGTCGGCCCCATTACACTTGAATTGAAAGCGGCATCCGTTAGGTTGAAATCCCCCGTCCCTGGGAAATTGATCACATTCCCACTCCAGCCGTTTCCTCCCTGCGAATAATCCAGGTATTCACTCTGGTCGTCCACGAACACCCAGCTAGTCTGTTTCTCCGGTGATGGTATCGTCGAGTTGACCGTTGCGTTGTAGATGAAGTAGTCTATGAGAAAATTGGACTGATTGGTCGTCGAGGCAGCGCTGATTACTTCGATTTCGAGCGTGTGCGTGTTTGAGGAAGAGGAGGAGAGATCTGGAGAGACGAAGAAGGGGATATGACGACGGGTGGCAGGTGGGACGAGGTATGTATTGTTGGAGATGACGCTTCCGTCAATACTGAACGAGACGTCAGTGCTGGTGTACGAGTTGCCCTCGTTCAAGCCTGGTGTAGTGCCAAAGACCGAGATGGAGTTTCCTGTGAATTGGTAGCTCATCGTCGAAGAGGCCTTCCCGGTGCCAGATGTGTCTACGAGAAACTCGTTCAACGCTCCAGCTCCACCGACGAACCAGCCATTGCTCTCAGCTTCCGCCGAGGTCGTAGCACCACTATCGTGAGTCACCACCGGCGAATAATTGATGTTTGAGTCAGCATCGTCGACAATCACGTATACTGACATCGAAGCGGCCTATTACTGCTCAAGAGCAGTTAACAAGGAGAGAGCAGAGACTCTTCGTCTGCACCCAGTGCAGAGCGGCACGAAATGAAGGTGAGGGGAGGACGGAAAGAGCGATGAAGAAAGTAACGATCAGATCGAACAGATCGGCGAGCGAGAGCGGCTAAGAGCAAGGGAAACAGGAGGTGATGTGCCCAGGCAGAACATAATAATAGACTGTAAATCGTCCGGACAGCCTTGGCAAAGTCCAATGGTGAGTTGGCGCTAATCAGCATGAGAAGGTGACCTACCAAGCACGAGGCTGATGTGCCCTGGCCCATCACTTCCAGCGCTCATGGTTGACGTCTTTATTGAGCCCGAATTGAGTCGGATTCCTCAGCGGTATGTTTCTTCATCTAAAATTGAAAGAGCCTCGTCTCGTAATGGAAACTTGGAGAGACGAAGAGCGCCGTTGTGAGAATAGACGAGAAACAGATATATTCCTTACACATCTCATATTGTTCTCTCTAATTTCCTCGAGAGCCAGGTACGGTCTTGGAAACATGAAGTCAAAGTTTTTTTTAAGAAAGACAGCAAGGATCGGCATTCTGTATTTAAACCAAATCGAAAGATGAACCGTGGTAGCACGTCAACGCATATAACTGTCGTAGACTCACCACACGGACGTACATAAGGAATCAGGTTTCCGCGTTACGAGTCCTTCACCATCGTACCACCCCCCATAACTTCCACGGCTTACATCTTCTTCACTCACACCATCTCCATAGCCATATGAGAAGCGGAAGACTCCGCAGCGGGTGTGATTGGCGCCGGTCTAGGGGAGAGACCAGGGACTCTGGAGCCGATGTCACTGCTGGGTCCAATAGAACGCTTGTCTGCTGGAAAGTACGATTGACTAGTCATCCGCCGTGATCTTGTGCGCCCGAAGCGGATCGGATGAGGATAGGGTGTAGGCGATGTAGCAACCGATGAAGGGCGGGTAGGAATTCGTTCAACAACGTCCGCGTCTGCCTCAGAATCTTCCGGTACAGCCTGAGGGATATCCTCTTCCCAGATGATCGAATGATCTGAAGGAGGGGAGACAGTGATATAGGATTGTTCCGCGACAGACTCTGCAACACTCCCTAAGCCCGAGTTTATTGTTAATACTTCCAATACTGGTGTAAACAGAGGAGCATGACTTACCACCGCCTGTCAGAATTGAAGGTCTGGGTGGAGGGGTGAAGACTAAGGTGTCCACAATGTGAATGCGCCCAAAGACGCCGCTCTCCGGGTCCGGTTTCGTGTCTATAAACAACGCAGCACAAAGAGGAGTCCAGATCGAATCATCAAGGTATAGCGAGGCTCCTGGATACTGGGTGACGACTCTCAGCATACTGATGAGGCTATGTCGGTCAATGTCCTTGATGAGAGTTGTCACTAGATTCACAATTGTATGGACGATCCACGAATCGCTCATGTATTCGTCGGGACTCCTTGAGCCTACTTGGAACTGAGCTATGGCACCTGCCAAAGGTTTGAGATACCGCCAACTGTCTTTTCGGATTCGATCTATGCGCCCAGGGTCACGTATCACCCACAAGAAGGCATCACATCCATTGCGACACAGCCAATGAAAGACGTGCAGCAGAACATCTTGGCCGTCTTTATTTGCCTCACAACACCAGAAATCAACCAACTCGGCAATGCCGAAGGCATTCTGGAGGAAGGGATGGTTGGCCAGAGGAGCCAAGGACGTGAAGAGATCATCAATGGCATCGCGATATGTGTCAGCATATTCTGGCGCACTGTATTCCAATCCGAATGGCTCTGCACGTATGCATTCAATGAGTATGATCATAGCCTCCGACCTCACTGAATTCAGCAGGTTTGCGATTCGAGCAGAGGACGCCGCAGATTTGAAACATCGGTGAGAAGCAAAGAGTAGAGCGATACAAGGTACGTTCTTCCGCGCTTGACGCGAGTGCTCGAATACCAGAAGACACACCAGAGCCTGCATGAATGCTGATGTCCAGAGCACTTCCCGAGCGATACTGCCGGAGAGTGTGAGACGGTCACGCACAGCGGCACGGTAGAGGGCAATAGCAAGAGCATATCGATCGTCCTCTAGCAATTCCCATGAGCTCTCGGAATCTAAAAACCGTTGGCAGGATGTCCAATCACATTAGTTTTATTTGATGGAATGATATAGTCTGAGAGACCACATACCTTCGATTCTGATCACTGTCAATGCGGCTGTTAGATTTGCTCGGCGACTACATTCAGGTGAAAGCAAATATATGAGGGTCTCTATCACACTCCGCTTTGATTGCAAGGGAGTATCTTTCCACCCAGGTAGCGAAGGACGGACGGTATCCCACAAAGCGGCTGTAGCACAATCGACGGAGTCATCATCGTGCGTGTGGATGAGCGTTTTGTGATATATCTCGATGGTGGCCGGTAAGATCAGTTCAACGTCGTCTGCTAAAAAGTCTACCTGGGCATCTTGAACGACAGTAGAGGACCCAGAGACGTCGGCATCATGGGGAAAAGGATCTGTTGCATCGAGAAACGTCATAGGAGAACGGGTAGTGGTCCACGTGCGAATACGTGACAAGCCTATTGCCATAGACGATACAATATGCTTGTAAAACCCCGTGAAGGTCCCTACCAATGACCAGCTGGTCGTCACATCTAATAGATGACCTGGTGCCCAGAAGGGAACTGAGACGAATTGTGCCCTAGTGTTGATGAATGACGACAATAGGGACTGAAAGGGCGACATCGAGGGATAGATGCATCCGTGAACAACAGAGAAGACAATGATAGTACCTGAGAGGCCCACAAGGAGCGAGGACGAGACTGCAGCTCCAAGAATTGGCACAGAGACGGGAGATATCGAGAGAGAGCTCGAGAGCAAACTGTCTAGCAGGCCTATGATGAATAGGCCAACGGCGAGAACTAAGAAGTGGGGTAATGCGTCGACAACGGGCCTGAGAAGACGATTAGCCTGAGTCCATCGATTGTAGACCTCGACAAGCATCTCGTGCGCTTGCGTGTGGTGGAATCGGGTGAGGGACTCGAGATAGCTCCTCCCTACGACAGCTAGAGAAGCGATACAAAGCTAGAATTGACATCAGTGATCTGTAGAAGTCGGAGTCGATCAAAATAACGACTCACGCTCACAATGAGGGACAGTGACCAATAGACATTCAGACGCACAGAACCAGGGTCAGGTTCGAATGCAACCGGTAATGGTAGGCTCAATAGAGAGCTATCAACTCCACTGAGCTGGATGATAACGTCTGTGAGGTTAGACACAAGCTCGTTTGTGCGGTCGCCTGATTCCTGTGAGAGCCCCGTAGTGGCCTGAATGAGGAAGGAAGTGACGACGGCCGAGAAAAGGGCGATCTATATTGTGGTATAAGTTAGATGTACATCGATTAGATTAGAACGACGTACAAAGATCAGTAGAGTATCCAGAGTACTTCTCCACCGGTCTACGTCAGGCTTGATGGAATTCTGCATGGTCGAGTTCAGGAGTGGAGTCCAAGCACTAGAGCTGCTCGCAGGGACTTCGAGGATCGGCTTTCTGGACGGATCTATTTGCGAGGAGAATACGCTAAGGCGACATTCCTAGCTCTGCCCGATGATGACTTGCCTTGTTCCTGTTGTCTATCGTCCATGCGCTTCAAAAATTCTGGAGCATAAGAAAAAAGACGTCCGTTGTCAATTGATGTTAAGTGCCACAAGTATGAGGCCGTCACGTACCGACCATTCTGCGCTGCTGTTCCAGCGTCTTGCTCTGCTGTTCAGCCAGCTTGTCCATCGCTTCGACTAGCTTTGTCGACGTGTCTCTTTTGCCAGCGTCAATGTCAAGAAATAGCGAGATCGTCAAGTCAGACTCGCCTTCCTAGGTTTGCTCTGTGTATTCCCTCCATGTCTGTGAGATTGATTTGGAAAGGGAGAGGTTGTTCAATCGAGTTCGGTCAAGGTCAAGATGAACAGAACGATAACTGAGGAGCCATCGATTCCATGTACTTCACTTGTACTCGTATTCGTACACGGCCTTGTGGCAATGAGTGGACCAAGAGCGCTGAGTCTGAGCCCAGAATATCTTTGAAGGCGATTTGACAACCCCGATCAAGCAAGACAAGGTCGGAAAATAAATGTTGAGAATATCTAGGTGCACTGCCACGTTCGAACTTCATTCGTTTCGCCGCTGTGTGCATACCCCTTCCAGTCTTCGCGTACTTTAGCTCCTTCTTCTCGCCCTTTTCTCTTTATTTTCTCCTACTGTCGGCATCAGCAGGTTACAGCCTGCCCATTTTGCTCTCGGACGGTATTGGCGCGAAGTCATGATGAACTCGGAACCCTCTGAAGGCGTGCCCGCTCCTGTACAAGCCGCGCAACAATATATCCACAAGGCCCAACGATTATATCAATCATACCTCGACCGGGCGACACCCCATGTTATGTACAGATGGCTCGGGACGTTGGGTGTAACTATTCTCTTTGAACTGCGGATTGTTTTTGCGCAGGGGGTGAGTGCCGTTCTACATGCGCTCACGAGTTGGTCGGGAGGATGGAAAAGTTCTGACTTGCTACTCGTTATCCTTTGGACGTGCGTCGGAATGTGTACGATGTAGTGGTATATCAGTACGTCTTCCCATATTTAATGCTTTGAATCTTCGTACTCACTTTCTGTAACCCCATCACCTTCGCGCAGTATGCTGTACGTCCGTCTTAACACACGTACACTCAGCGCACCATAACCTTGCCCTCCCTCCGCTCTCCTAGATGCCCATGCTATCTATATTCTGAACCTTCTCCTCGCCTTCCTGCAACCAAAATTCGACCCTTCCATTCAAGACGATCTCTTGGCGGACGAGATTGAAGAGGGAGGATCTGAGGAACAGAGGTCGCCCCTTCCGAGCTCGCGGGATGACGAGTTTCGTCCGTTCGTGAGGAGATTGCCTGAGTGGCAATTTTGGTGCGTCTTTTCTATCTGTCGGTTAGCATGGTCCTATGTGATGAGGCGGGCCGACCTTTGTGTAATGCACATTGGTATCGGTCGGGCCACGTCAATTGGGTTGGGTTTGAGGTGAATACGTGTTGGTGGCGTTTAGCGCTCACGCTACAGGCTATTCTAGGCTTATATAGAGAGCCAAACGCTACGACCACGACTTTCCCTCTTCTATCCAGAGCCACACAACCTTCTTATTTAAATCCTCGAGTGCTCACAACTTTATATGAATTTATAGGCTATCAACCACGAGAGCCACGGTCATCTCCCTCGTCCTCACCTTCTTCACCGTAATGGACGTTCCCGTTTACTGGCCCATCCTCGTCCTGTACTTCTGCGTTCTTTTCGTCCTCACAATGAGGAGACAACTGCAGTACGTCTACAGTCTCTACTCTTATCTTCCCTTGCCCTGTGATGCCCACATTCACCCGCTCCTCGTAATCATCCTCATCCTCATTCTACTCTCTTCACGACGCCTCGAATTTATGATATTGACCATCGTTTCGCCAATTTTCAGACACATGATCAAATACCGCTACGTCCCTTTCGACTGGGGCCGGAAGGCTCAGTATGGGAACCGACGATAAGGTGCTCGGGCGCCACAGAGAACATGTCTTGAACTTCCAGAAGTGGGCGTAGGATATACTTACGGTTTGAACCTTTTCATGGGATAGATCAGGATCTTGAGAAGTGGTGACGGGGACTATGATTTGTAGACTGCGTTGTGGTCCGAGGCAGGAATTGGACGGTTTCTTTCTCTCTCTGGCGTAATGGGCATTTGGCTAGCTATGCGACTGTGGTTTGTCGGTGGATTGAGCTCGAAGGTCATTGGTATACAGTGAGTATGGATCAAAACGTGATCATAGTGCGACACGCAGTACAGCAGAAGATACACTGGGGTATACGAATAGACACAAGACGAGATTATAATACAGCTACGAGACACAGGACAAAGCAAACCATCATCTCTACTAAGCCCCAGTCCATCGGCCAGAAAGCCACACCGACCCTCCGAATCAATTTACCCTCCACTCGACGTCTGCATCAAAGCGCTTGTTGCTCTGACCACCGCACTCACACCCTCTCTGACCTTCTCTTTCTCCTCCTCCCTAACCCTCTTCATGATCCTCCCTTCAAACTTGTCAGGATGAAACTTCAACATCGTCTCCCTGAGTTTTTCCTTCTTCTTACTTGCTCTTGACGCCGAGTCTTCGTCGTCGAATGTCACGGGGAATAAGAACGACGAGATAGCCTCTGATGTGAGATCTTCGACGCCTAGTAGTTTACCGTGAAGAATGGGCCAGGGGATGTCGGAGAACCCTAGGAGGGTTGGGGTAGATGTGGCGGTGGCACTAGCATTGGAAGGAAGCAAGAGTTCAAGCCATCGACGTTCGTAGTCGCCTCTTGCATCCTGCTCTCGTCGGTGTTGACGTTCTCTACGTCTACGATGGCGAATGGCTTCGGCTTCGCGTTCTTGACGGGCTGCTTCGGCTTTGAGGGCTTCTTGACGGGCAGCAGCAGCTGCTTGGGCCTCAATGGTAGCTGCGTTCTTTTTCCTGTGGGGGTGGTACATATGTTGTGAGTATATTATAGATGCAGGTAGAGTAGATGGAAATGGTATTCTGGAGTCCAGAAACTGCCCATATTCAGATTACACTGCCGCACAAGAGAAACCGAACGACTGTGGGGGAAACTCACCTCCACATTCCAGCCCTTATCCACTCCGCATACTCCTCCTCGTCCATAGTTGCTGGATCAGCGCTGTCCCAAAGCACTTTATCTAAGCCACTCGCTCCCCCTGCATACGCCCTCTTCCCTGTGCTCACCGCATCTTCTCTCCACCGCCTCGGCACATGCGCATAGTCATTCATGTTGGCCTCCACAGCATCTAATCTCTCGTCGTCCTGAAAAGCACCAAACATCTTCTCTCGAAACCGTTCTTCTTCCACTCGTGCGCGAATCTCTTCCTCGTCTATACCCATATCCATAGGCCCTGGTGGGTCGTCAAAGTCAAATTCATAAGTGTAGTTCGATGGACCGGCTTTGGGCTTCGGTGGTGGTGGAGGTCCATAGGCATCATCGGTGTCGTCTTCTGCGTCTGGCGGGGCTTCGTTGTAATATGGTTTTGAGGATTTGCGATGGCGGTGGGAAGAAGAAGGGGAATGTGAGTGTTTCTTCGCGCGACGGGCAGCTTTGCGGGCTTTGCGCAGGTCATGAGCCGCCTGTTCTGCTGGAGTTCGTTTGAGATGAAGTTTGCTCGGCATGAGAGGGATTAAGAAGGTAGGTTAAATGATGGACTATGGATGTCGGGAATAGGATGTGCTCTGTGGCGAAGGACCGTGCAGTGCGGTAGAGTCGATGAGTGGCACTCGGCTACAGCCGATGCCGTTGTTGTCATCGTCATCGCCGCCACACTTCCTGAACCAAACTTGTTCTCTCTGCACCCTGCTCTCCGAGTCGGCGACATGACCGTGACTATCCTAGACTTCATCTATCGATTCCACCAGCACCACAGTATACAAAGTGCTGCTTACTTGTATCTAAATCCGCAATCTGGTAGACAACACAGTCCAAGATAGCGGTGTCGATTTCCCATAGTAGGTATACTCATTTGGTCGTTTGCGGTTCATACTAGACTTCCAGTCGACCCCTCCTGGGCGTATGGAAGCCTGTGAAAACGAATACCGACCCACATCTTTCCGAACCCTGTCGAGCTTAGCAGAGCCTTTTCTGCGTCTTCATAATCAGCTACTCGTCCATACTTAAACGGTCGAAAATACGTTGGATTGCTATTCAGTCTGGATCTGAACATCCTCACTTCTCTCGTCGCGACACCACTCAGCCCTCTCTGTTTCCTCGCTGACAACTAGTTGATCGATATGCCTCCCGGAAAACCACCAATGCACCTCACGCCCACGAAGCGTGGTGACATCTACGATGCGATCTCACCTTTGAAAGCGCTACATGGCTCTGCTAAAGGTCTCTCCGTTCTGATAACCGGTGCTGGTCGAGGCATTGGCCGTGCTCAAGCACTGGCATTTGCTCAGGCTGGTGCGACAAAGATAACACTCGTGTCTCTGGAGGAGGAAGAGCTGAAGGAGGTGAAGACGTCGATTGCGAGTCTTGCAGGATTAGATGATGATAGGCGGGTGGACATTGTGAAAGCAGACATCACGAGCGAGGACCAAATGGCGAAAGCGTTCGATGAGGCAGGATCGGTTGATGGTATGTAATTTGATACGTCCTTGAAGTTCTACCCGGGGGACTTTCCCTCCCGTTTACTGATCAACTTGTTTGTATAGTACTCGTCAATAACGCCGGTCGCATGAACGCTGAAGCAAAACCGCACGAATCAGCTTGCGAAGATTGGTGGAAGACTTTCGAGGTAAGTCATCCCAATGTATGTGTCAAGTGAAGGACTAAACATTACCGTAAACTGCAAGGTCAATGTGAAAGGTACTTACACTGTATCACGCGAAGCCATACGACGGGCTCTCTCCGTTTCATCTCGTCCCAATCTGGTAACTCTCACCTGTGTAGCATCAACGACTCAGCAGACTCATCATGTCGTGCAGACCATCATCAACACGTCCTCCGTCGCGTCGGGAAATACACGACTCGGTTTCTCGTCCTATGGGTCGAGCAAAAGCGCCATCAATCGCTTCACAGAGTTTCTACACTTCGAGTACGAAAATCAGGGTATTCGAGTGTTTGCTTACCACCCAGGTTCGCTCCATCATACATTCTCGGCTTCAAGATCACCCATACTCACCGACATGTGTCTCATTACTTGTAGGAGCCATCATGACTACCCTCGCACGAGACTCCATGCCGACCAACACATTCGCCACACTAACTGACAAACCTGAGCTTTCTGCCGGGTATTGTTTATGGCTGGCTACCCAAGGCGATCGTGTTGAGTTTCTAAGAGGAAGATTTAGCAGTGCGACGGTGAGTCGCTGTTTGCTCATTCATCGTGCATAGTTCGTATCAGTACGATGACTGGTCTCCCATTTTCCCTTACAGTGGGACGTTGATGAATTGCTGGAAATGAAGCAAACGATCCTAGAGAAAAATCTTCTGTGGACACGAGTGGTTGGGCAGGAACAAACGGTGTAGGTGATTGGGTCCAACGGGCCAGGCTCGTACGAGCGAGATATTTTGGTATGAAGTCGCCGTTGTGATTTGTTGTACCACCAGTTTTCAAACAGAAAGGCACGATACGAATGCCTAAATCATGGTGGAGTTTGAATTCAGTTCAAGGCCCACATCTGAGACTGACTCTATAGCACACAACATTTGATTCAACTGTCCGTCTCATCTCAATCACCAATCAGAATCAAACACTCAAAATCCTGCACGAAGACAGTCTGCATCCACCTCACGGCCAATACCCTTCCATATAATTCTGCTCCGACCCGGCTTCACCTCTCTAATTGGTCTCGGAAAGAACTTCTCGTCGTTATCAAGCCAAGAGCTACTAGTGGAATAGCGCAGACTCGGACTGCCATAGCCCGTAGAAGCTTCAGAGCACGACATCCAGGACGAATCAATACCGAAAGGTGTAGGTTTCGGAGAGGAGATGGTCTCGACGGAAGAGTAAGACTCTGGAGCGGTTATGGTGATGATTGGATTGTCACCGCCGTTGGGCGTGATGACAGGATTCGCATCACTGGAAGTGACGCCGAACCAGTGGGCGGGGAATCCGTAGATGAGAGGTGAGTCGTCGGATGTGGGATCCTCGTCGGTGGGAAGCCCAGGTAGCAGAGGGGGGACTTGAGCTTCGAGGAGCGATGATAGGGTGGCGGACGGGTCGAACGCTGATGGGCCGTGGCGATTGGGACGGCCATGTCCGTCGTATATGAAGGATGTGACGAAAGGTTGTTCTGAGGAAAGTACTCCGTCAGTTAGGGTCTGACATGTCGTGAATGGTAAAAACACACCAGCATAAGACTCGGCACTATTGACATGTTTGTCCTGATTGAGCTCGATGTCGGAGCCACAACGAGAGGAAGGAAGGACGGAGGTGCAAGACATGAAGGTTGCGTAGGTGTGGTCTCGTGTAAATGCTCGTATTACAGGGAGGCGCACTTTATTCATGGTGCAGAGATGGGCCTGCAAGGCTCGATGTAGTCTCACCCTAAATAAGGGCAGGAAGGAAGGTCGGCCCATCGGTTAGAAAATTAGTTCAGACATCTGAGACTTGCAACGGAGAGGGACGGAATCTAAGAAACAGCCGGCGATGCCAATGCCGCCCTCGCTTTCAAGAACTACTCAGGGACAGTGTGCGAATAGTCACAAGGCACAGCTGAGATTCCATGGTCATTCGAAAGTCGAGACGATGTGAATAAGGAAACATGGAGGTACAGTAGAGGAAAGTAATGAAAAGGTCTGTGTCGATACTGATGAACGATCCAATTTCTACAGGAGATAGAGAGTAAAATTTGGTTCAGGTCGAGAAGAGAAAAGGAAGGAAATATTGAACGAATAATTCTACAAGATTCAAGATGATATGGAAATGATGTTCGGAGGAGCACGAGCAACGATAATCAAGCAAACAACCCTGCGACGACCCCTTGCATCTTGCCATCTCGGATAGCCTAGACAAGGAAAGAGTAAATACGAGGCATACCAAATATATATGAACAAAAAAGCAACGTACCTCATGAATCAGCGACACATTCTGACCAATCGTTACCTCCTCAACGCCGAGCCCGTTCGCGAATACATTTTGGTTCTCCGAACCATGCATCCTGACACCGAGCCCAATACGGACAAACTCATACACCGGACGCGTCTTGTGCAAGTACGCGCTAGCCGGTGCCGGGCCCTTCTTCCCGGACAAGTAGTCATCGCGGAGCTCGTTGATCAGAAACGTGGCACGACGAGCGACAGCTTCGCGATAGGCTGGAAGCGCAGAGAGTGCGGAGGCATCCACTGTGACGAAATGGTCTACTAGAGCTGAAGAGGAAGCTGCGGCAACTTTCTCCATCCGCGCGGGAGCATCGACAGAGCTGGTCGCGTCGAGAGTCTTGTATACGCTGGCGACAAGCTGCTTACGCATCGACGAGATGTCGGAGGAGGCCAACTGCGCGCCAAAGTGGGATTGTACCTCCTCTTCAACGATCTGCGTCAATCCTCTACGGAAGTCGAGCTGGAGAGCACGAATATCCAAGGCTAAATTGAAAAAAAGGTATTAGGTCAAAGACGCCAAAGAAACTCAACTCAAGAGCACAAACCTTGACAGAGAAGGTAGAGGTAGGTCGAAATTAAAAGCGAAAGGACCTCAAGCGCGGTGATCGTCGCTCGCCCCGATATAAGAGCAAGAGAGCTGTAGTTCATTATCGTCAACGTTGGTGCTTATCGAGGTTGATAGGGACAGCTCACTTGACCGCCTGGTTGTGCATCTCTGCAGATTGGATATGTGTAGAAACTGGGTTGGCGAGGTAACCAAGCTCGCTGACGTAGGACGCAGAAGCGATATCAAGGCCCTTTGCATGGTAGTTGAGAGAGGGATCGGTGGCAGCAAGGCATGAAGGCAAACCGCGGTTCATCATGGGGTTGATGAGCTCCGTGGCCTGAGCGAACATAAGCTTGCCGATGTGGTGGAGGGAAAGGCGGGTCTTCTCCATCACGTTGGTGACTGCCATAGCCTGGAAGTTTCCGCCGTGGTGCACCTCTCCTGTCTCACCGTCGAAGAGCGGATTGTCGGTGGCTAAGGATTGTGCAAAAAATATTCATAAGAAAGATGCGAAGGGGACGTTGTGCGTGAACTACTTACTCGAGTTGCACTCCAATGTGATCGTCTCGAGCGAGGACAACAAGTCCTCGATTTGTGGCCCAAGGAACTGGGGCGTAGTACGCAGAGGGTAGCGGTCCTGACGCAATTCACCGTCGTCTTCTTCGATAGTGACTTCAGTTTCGTGAGTGAGAGCGAGCTTGCTGCCTTCCAGGAGGTCCCAAATAGTATGGGATACCTCAATCTATAATATGAAGTGATCAGCCTCAAGATGAAGTCCGCTATTGGGTAACACTGACCTGTCCAGGGTGTGGGCGAGCAGTTTCAGAGATGAAGGGATGATAATTCCCTCGCACGCCGAGAAGAGCCTCTGTCCCCATCGCAGTGCAAACCTGCGCGAGCATGCCCATATGGACCGCATCGTTCAAAGCAAGAGCCGCGACAGAGGCAGAAAATGCGGTTCCGTTGAGGATTCCGAGATGCTCCTTGGCGGCGAGATTGATAGGCTCGATGCCGTGTTTAGCGAGTGCGTCACGGGAGGAAACTATCTGACGTGCGCCGAACATTGCGGGTCCATCGAAACACCTAATCGACGGGTTACCTGAAATTGCACCAGCGATGTACGATAGAGGTTGCAAATCTGACAGAACACACGGAATGAAAGGTAAGCGTTAGCTCGTCCTCGTAGTGAACCGAAAGGTGTAGCCAACGTACCGCCTGAAGCAGAGATGGAACCGCGGAGAGGTATCATTGGAATGATGTTTGCTTGCAGGAACTCAGACATTTTCTCAATTAACTCGAACCGCACGCCCGAGTGACCACGGATCAAGGAGTTCATGCGGATGAGAAGAGCTCCTCTGACCCATGATTCGGGCATGCTGGTCGACGTGAGAGGGTCTGATAGAGGAAGCACGGGGAGAGGAGACGATGTCGATGACGGGAGGACACCTGCATGTTGGTGTTGGAGCAGGGCGCTACCCAAAGCAAGTGTGTTGGCCGTACGGGTGTCAGCTGAAAGAGGCGTACTAATATTAGTATTTTGTTACTTGAGAGACAAAAAAAGGATAACGGACCGCTACCGCCGAAGCCCGTACTAACACCATATACACTCATCTCGCCAGCGACCTTGTCTTCCACTACCTTGCGAGACTTCTGGACTCGGTCTTTGACACTAGTGGCGTCGCTCAACGTGACGGTGGCGTGACAACGTGCCACAGCAACCACAGCGGAGATAGATAGTGAATGACCATCAAGCGTGATATTGTCTCCGTTCCTGCAGCAAGACAGGGGTATGATAAGCTACGAGGAGGGTTGAAGGCCATTCATGAACGACGTACTTGTAGTTCTGAAGTTCGTTGTATTGCTTGACGAACTTCCTCATCAGCTGTGCTGGCTCCAGTCCGGGACGAACTTGGGTGAATGAGACGGGCACAGCTGGAAGGGCTTCCTTGTACAGGAGCTTGGAGGGAGGATTCTTGGGAAAGCCATTCACGCGAGGCTCGACGGTGTGGAGGATGGTCATGTTGGTTTCGAGAAGAGTATGAGGGTAGGTGAAAGGTAGTCGGAACGGGGGGATATAAAGCAACAAAAGGAGGCATGACAAAACACATCCCCTATATATGAGTCCACCGCGCTCACGAATTGGGCACTCCAACAAAATGGTGATCACGGCAAGAGGAAACATCAGCGTGCCCTGAGAAAGATGAGAGGTGCTTGCCATTACGACAGATTGCAAGATTCAGAGATCCGGCCGGCGAGTAAGGACTTCCAGCAATGCTATGATCCGGCCGAAAATTACCTTCTCAAGTATTCTAATTCTCCAGACCTGCAGCTCCCGACGTTTGGATTCATCTATGTCGAAGCATCCTGACCCCGCCAATGGTGAAACATTCCGAAACCATGACCTCACACCGAGTTGAGGCTGCCGAGGCGTCGTTCGAGCTCCGACCGTTATACCCGCCGGAGGTCTTTCAATGGTGTATGGCTGGACAGAGATACCAAGATGGAAACATAGACATCACCAAATGTCGACGTCGACGTAAAGCAGAAAGATTTGAAGTTAGGAAATCAACGCCACACCGTGACAAACAGGACCAAACAGGGCCGTGAAATATCCACATCTGGACGTTGTTTTTCGCTGCTGTGATGCTTTCCAGTGCTTGCATAGCATACCCACAGCACGCGCAGACTCGGCCACATCGTATCCTGCATCATTTTCACTTCTTGCGCATCGCTTACGGTACGCTCAAATCTTCGCCAATGTGTTTCAAACTTCAGACGGCGGCTGGCAGTTTTGCGCTTTTACTATGGAGTTGCGTTTGGGTGATGCCACGGCTTTACGCCAAATGAACTCAGCGAAGGTTGACACCGAAAATATCCGAACTTTCTGTCTCATATCAGATGCTGTTCCTAAAGACGGTAACCTTTCGAGACTCCTCACAATCAAACGCCTTCACCATGGCATACGCCTCTAATGGCCCACCCCTCCGAGCTTCCTGTAGCACCAACCATTCGTCCTATGGGCTCACAACAAGTCTGATTACCGACTGGTACCGCGGCGATGACTAGCAGATCTATGCATACTTGCGTTGTGGTCTTTCAAGTGAGTCTTTCAGTGGCGAATGATCTTATTCCGGTCAGCTCATCAAATACTCCTTGAGGCTCGTATACTTACTGTCCGAGCATCATCGGGGTAGCATTTAGGATCGGTTCTGAATGGGCTTATTACGATGAGCAATGTACTGTGACCATGATAAATCAGAAGTCCCTATCGCTCAGGCCCATCCTCTTACAATACTAGTTCGACCAACGTTTCCGCTGTCTGACAGACATTTGATAGATTTAGGTACAGGTCTCATTATCTTCGAATTCGTCCTTGTGCAGGTTGTTGGGTCCTCAGGGCGATGAAACCGAAAACTCGCCACTCACCCAACACTCCGCATCATGCTTTTGACAGTGTGCCGGACCCGTATTTTTTTTGACAATGGCTGATACTTGATGCGAACCTTCAGGCCTCAGCCCCTGGAGCGATCCTCATTCTGTGGATGGACTTCATACATCCTCAAAACTCGGTTCGGCGAGTAGTAAGTATCTCATGGCGGGAAATTCATTGATCAAGTTCCTCGCGAATACTTACCACTCAGGACGTTTTGCTGTTCTTCATAGTTGCGACGAAGGAAATCTACTAATTTACTTCGCGCACTGTTGCTCACTCTGTCTACCCTCTGAACTCATGCCAATTTCTCGAAGCTTCACATACCAAGCTGAATCACTGATTCAAGCTGCCACTGATCATCTGTCCGACAGAAACACTCTCTGTTTGCAGACTAATTAACACAGCCGCAGGATTACTCACGACGCATTGAGCGCGCCTATCGAGTGCTACTTACAGTACTTGAAATAGATCCAGGTTACGCTCGTCTCAATGGCTTATTCTCGCAGCTCTGTCATTGAGTCATCATCAAACAAGTGCAAACGGTCGTTCTGCTAAATGGTGCATCACCCTCTTTCTGCAAAAATATCTCAGCTCATTCATGGCACTCTGAGATCATTGAACCAGACTAGGCCTCAAGTCCGTGCTTCCTCCTAGCCTTGTCCATCCGGGTCAATTCCAAAGGAGATTGCTTGTCACGAACTATCTTTTGTTCTCCGCCATATCACTAAAGCTTCCCATGCTCAGAGTTTAGACCAGGGTTATCGGTAAGTATGAGGCAAATGCACCGTGATTCGCGGATAATCTGCACTGCCTGTGGACTCTTTGCCGTGGATCATCCATAGCTGGAACGATCATTATTCGACTCCGACTCGACCACATATCACATCCTGTTGATGGTTGTAAAGTCAGAGTTGAAACGGTATCACCCGACGCTCAAGATGAAGCAGGGCGAAGGCACGGTGAGCGGCAATAACAGAGGATGCATGTTCTTGAGGTCTGTGTCCCACAAAGATCGAGAGCATCTGTCTTCGGAGAGAAAAGTCATCCACGGATACTTGGCCCTCCTTTTTCTTTCCAAGATACATAGGACCTCATTCCAAGTTATGGACGATGGTAGGCACTCGGAGATGAGGTGATTCTTAACTGCATGTTCCGTAGCCTGAAACGCATTGACAGAGTTCTAGAATATCCAGAGCAATGGCTATTAAAATATTTATCATTGGGGACGTACAACTTATACAAGACAGGAAGAAATATTCATGGGGAAATACGGCCCCTTCGTTACCTCGAACTTAGCAAAGGTTTGGAAGCCATGGAACTGACGAAGACATAGAGAAGCAGCATGCGCGAGAGATAAGCCGGAGCAATGTGGCCACTGATAGAGCCACCCTGTACGGAGACTTTGACGCAGTCGCCACGATTGTGAGTGCAGACTGCGAAACATGCCCGCTGTGGGCTCCGTCAGACTATGAGTGGAATAAGAAACATCACGACGACTTACTTTGGCAAGTGCCCCTGGAGATCTACTTCGCCCTCCCTCGTTTCTTGGGTCTGATTACCTCGTCTTCTTCGTCAATGTCCTCTTCTTTAGTCGATCTCTTTACACGCGAGGAAGGTTTGGATTTAGACAGTGGCTTTGTCGGTTTCGGCTTTTCGTCCTCTTCCTCTTCTTCACCCTTGATGACCTTTGCCTTCGATGATGGTTTTCTCTTAGAGGTCGTGCTCGGTTCCGCCATGGGCCCTGTTGTCTCATCATCGTCGGACTCGGCCTTCTTTACTGCAGCCTTCTTGCTAGATGCCGGTGTCTTCGCAGGAGCGTCATCCTCTTCGTCGGACACAAACATATCCTCCTCCTTGGCCTTCCTTTTCAACATCGGTTTAGCTTTAGCCTTGGCTTTTGGTGGTGCTTTGTCATCGTGAGTCTCTGTTTTGACAGACGGAGGGTTGGCAGCGTCCACGGGTTCAGCCTTGAAGAAGTCGTCGAGCCTTCTTTCGGTTTTCGTGTCAGGAGATTGATCCCTCTTCTTATCGAAGAATGCTTCTCGCATGGCCTGGGGAGGTCGAATAAGTAAGTCAGCCCGGTAATTTGTCGTGCACATAGGAGAACTGACTTTAGACTCAGCATCCGGAATGAGAGCTGAAGGCTTCCAGATCTGAGGCAGACCCGTCAAAACATAGTCTTTGAGTAAACACGGTTGGCTAAGATTGGTTTACTTACCGTCGACTGGATACCACTAGGATGTTTGCTATCCAGACCTGCGCAAGGGCCATATACGTAGTCAGCATTACAGAAAGACCGTCGAACATGTCAAAGGAAGACAAGATTTCACCGATCGCCGTATAGAGATTGGATTTCACACCAATGACGTTCAACCCGTGTTCGGCGATGAGGGCCCTCATCATCTGTAGGAGACGATCAATACCTCCTCATGCGTTGGCGGTTTCGCTCAGTACACACCTCTGTCGCAGCTTCTTTGTCGTATGCGTTTGGCATGTAGACGCACATGACGTGTTGATAATTGGGGGCATTGTTCGGAGGACAAGTTGAAACTTTGGCTAGAAACGCTGCCGTCGAAGACAGGGGTCCTGACACGAGTGAAGCTGACGTGATTTGAGTCTACCAGCGATTTTGAGAGGTAATGATGGAAGCTATGAGCACCCACTTGCAACAGTCGTCCAAATGAAATCTACTTTGTCCGGTGGAGCAAAAATAAGCCTGTGACCATGGTGAACAAAAGCAGAAACATGGTCAGCGCCGAAGGCGTGCAGATGCTGAGAACTATCGGAACAGACCATTTTCCGGACACATATCCGTGACGCAAAGATATCTCCTTGAGCTTCTCGACTGCAGCAGCTTGTTCCTGTACAGACGATTCAGCGCAGGCTGAATGCTTTTATAGACCATGAGCTCTCACTAATTCGCGGCACTCCTTTTTACTCTTGATATCCGGATTTTTCTTGCTGGCACGGGTCGGTATAGCTGGGTCGTTCTATGCGCGAGATGAATAAAATTACAACGACAAACATAGTTTATGATTTGATATCCAGTTACCTTTATGCTGTCGATCTTTTTGGTCGCGTCATTCACTGAGAAAGGCGTCAACAAAGCTCCTCGATGGTCTCTGTCTCAAACACACATACCGCATTCCAAGGCCTCTCGAATGGCAGCTTCTTCGTTCTTATCGAGCTGAGGAATGGGATGTTTGCCTTGCACCCAGATCCACTGGAAGGGACACGATGACGATTCAGAATGATACACTCTTGACATGAGACGAAACACGTACCGGTTTCGTGCCGTCGTCCTGCACCATGGATGGTTTGAACTTTGCGGAAACACCACATAAGGTCAGGCTCTCGTGTGCACTTCATGAGCAGATGAATGCACAAACCTTATTGAGAAATCCATCTAAAGGACGCTCCTCTGCGGAGTCAGGAGACCACGCGTATGGATAACTGGAGGCCTCGGGTACGAGGTCCTCTGCGCTTTTAGTGTCAACCATAAGTATTGTCTTTAGAAAGTACTCTGAGACTGCAAAGAAGTATGAGAGAAAGGCCAATGAACGCGTGGAGGATGCCAGGATCAAGACGAAGGCGCGTCGGCGTGGAAGACAATGATTCATCGGCAACCGAGTCATGTGGTCGTGTCACCTTGTGTCATGGCTAGCGCCACAGTGGCACCACTGCAGACGAAATTGTGTGGCCCATAGCACCGCTGGACTCTGCCCGACTTGACAACTCACTCAGGGTCACGACTAAAAAAGATACGAGTATGTAGAACGAAATATATTGCCTGCGTAGCCCGTAGAAAGACTGACACGAATAGCAGGATGGTAGTATCAATCTAAACCGTCTAGCTCTGGCACAATGTCCCTGCCTACCCCCTTCTCTAGATAATCCTGGATATTCAACAGGGCTCGGACCTCCATTTCCAGCATACAATCCTGCGCTAATGTGCCTACATGAGGCAATAGAGTAGCGTTCGGCAAGGCGATAAGTCGCTGGTCCACGCTTGGTTCGGTTGCAAAAACGTCCAACCCAACGGCACCTAACTGTCAATCACGGTCTGAAGTGAGAAATTGCAGCAATCAGGCCTGTTGGAGCCTCTTACATGTCTGTCTTCTAGAGCTCTTATCATCGCTTCCTCGTCGATGACCTTGCCTCTTGCGGTATTGACGATAATCGCACCCCTCTTCAATTTTCGGATCATCTCCTCGCCAACCATGCCTCTCGTCTCATCATTCAGTGGGACATGAATGCTCAAGACGTCGGCATTTGCCAGGAATTCGTCCATCCTCTCTGGTCCGAAATACTTCCAAGACGATGGGGCCTTCGCCACGGGATGTCTAGAATGATAGATGATGCGCATGGGGAACGTCTGCACAAGCTCCGCCATGCGATACCCGATTCCACCTAAACCTAAGATAGCGAGAGTTCGACCCGTCAGACCGTTGGCGTCCGCTGAGGCGAGCCCATTCTTCCAGTTGCCCGCGCGCAAGTTGCGTTCGGCCGTTGAGAAATTGCGGAACGCAGAGATCATGAGGAACAGAGCGGTCGTGGCTGTGGCGTCGTCCACTGTTCCGGGCGTATTCGACACTCCAATTCCTGGAGGAATCAGTAAGTGTGAGGTTACATGGAGCTTAGACAGCCAAGGTATCTGTGGAATCGCATACCTCTATCTTTGCATGCTTGGACGTCTATCATATCGTATCCTGCGCCTTTGTGTGCGATCCACTTTACAGTGGGTGGCATAGTCTCGATAAGCTCTCTATTCCAAGGCCCGACTTTCTTCATGCATGAGTTTTGATGATAGATGGCTGTTATGCTGTCGTACTTTCCACCAGGTCGCATTTGGGTGAGAAAATCATCTCGTGTCAGGGAATCTAATATCTGGCCGCGAGTTCTACGATCAGCGAAATATATGACGGTGTATCTACACGTACGATCGTCTCTGCAAGATTAGCAAACATTTCCTTCATCTTCTCCCCCGCCCATTCCATATCACCTGGAGCATTAGAGTTAGCTCGCAAGATTTGTCCGTGCATGGACCAACTTCATACCGCAAACCAATATGCGCGCCGCCATAGTTGATGACAAGTCGATAAAAAGCGACAAAAGCACTGTGTGACTCGGCGTGCGATCCTGTACGATCCTTCACGGAACGTTCCGGTCCTGGCGCCACATAACCACTGAAGTCCGTTCGGACGGTTGTGCGTGTATTTACTTGAGACTTCATCCGAGACTACTTGCTAGAACCGCGAGCACCAGTCTTCCGTATATGTATGAGGACCCACGAGAGATACCACAGATTTGAACTCAGTTAGATTGGATACGCACTCGTACATGATTTGAGAATTCTGCAGCCACATCAGATTTCATAGTTGGGCGTCTGACAATCCGATCATGGCAAGAGGTCTTCTGGCAAGCAAAGCTCTTCGTCTCTAAGCTCTTTGGCCCCCTCTGGGCCGCGCGAAAGGTCAAAGCCATCGGGCTCGCGGAACGGCGAGAACTTCTTGGCCAGATCCTCGTCAAGCGTACCCTGGATTGCATCGGCTACAAGTGTTCCAATGTTTGGAAGGAACTAAGACAAGAAGATGAGTATGAAACTAAGGCATGGAAGTTGTGTGAGAGAGGGAGCGAGCTCTAACCCAAAGGACATACCTTGTACGCATGACCGCTTCCAGCGGTTGCAAAAACAAGAGCAGGATCCGAAGGGTGTGCTCCAATCATCCAATGAGCGTCGGGTGTGTCAGTATACCTAGATTCAGGCGGGATGAAAGGGACACAAGAGTCAGCAGGAATGGAAGAGTAAAGATGACGACATGCTCACCAACAAAGTCTGGTATGTACGAAGGGCTTCTCTGCTAACTCAGGATAAAGTTCACGGAGTTTTGTGCGAAGGGTTTTGACCATCGTCTGTGGTATGCGGAGGCCCTGCTCCCCGTGCGATAAAATAGTCCTGGGTGTTGAGATTGCTTTCTGTGTGTCTGAGGATGCGTAACTGGTGTAACCCGCCGCATGGATGCCGAGCTTGATGGTGCCGTCTTTGTTGGGCTACATGTGCATGGTAAATTACCACTGCCATCTAGTAGGATACATGGACAATGAAGGACGCACAGGGAAAATGTAGAAACCTGAGGTGAAGTCCACAACCACAGGGCATAAACGGTAACGATCGGCTTCTTCTAAAGTGAGTTGAACGGTCGTGATACTTTGCCTGAATCGAGTCAGCAGTCCGAGGTCAGCGTTTGTAGACCTTTTCATCGAAAAATGACAGACTCACCCCGTGGCCAAACAGTGACCGAGGTCGAACTCTGCGAAAGTTGACGCCGTCCAAGAACCAGTAGCCAAAACTGTCAAAGCAGCCTCGAATCTCGTCCCATCCTTGCACTCTACCCCCAAGGTCCGTCCGTCCTCTTCTCTTCGTAAAAGCTTATGCGCAGCCTTTCCCGTGAGCAGCTTTCCACCCATCTCTTTCACCCTCTCGGTCATGAGCGAGATGCCCTGAGAAGCATAAGCCCAACCACCATCATGGTTGAGGTACCCCGCGAGATTATCGAGCGAACCAGATTTGATGTTAGGAGGTAATACCGAAGAGATCGTCGCGCCCGTGTCTAGTTTCGTGACACGGACACCCGCTGCGATGTCGTTCTCGTATGATTTCGCGCCGTATGGTGCTTCTTTAGAGCCGAGCACGAGAACACCGGATCTTGAGAGAAAAAATCGATGTTGAAATGGTGGGGACACTGAGGTCAATGATGATTCGTCGAGGAGAGTCTGAGTCGGATCATGCAGATTTTTCACTCACTCGTGGTACGTATCGCCCCATTCCATAGACGAACAGCATCCTGGGCGAAGCGTGTATAGAAGTTATCCGAGTATGAGGTCCGGACGACTGCATCAATAGGTCATACGTGACGCAGATGTTAGAATTGTTCAGAACCGAAGGAGGTAAAAAGACGAGCGCACTCTTATTTAAATCGGTACTCGCAGCGTCAGGTGCAGGATGGACCTCAGAGCGGTCAAGAATTGTCACATCCGTAAAGCCACGTTTGAGGAGATGGTAGGCGGTAGAGATCCCGAAGCAACCTGCGCCGACGATGAGAATCTTGTCGGTTTCGCTGACTGTCATTATGTGGCGCTAGAGATGTGGCGGCGTCGTTTGAAGCTTTTTTGGGTTTTTTAGATAGGACGACCAAAGGGATCTCTTCGACACAGTACTGGCCCAAGTCCTTCAGCAAGCTTAGAAAAGCTTTTCACCGACGACGAGACTGTCATTTATAGGCCGATAGCTGTGTGTATTTCGGTATAACTCTACGTCGGGCGCCTGAAGAGATCGAGAACGTCGAACAGGATCGATGCAGATAAGATGGGTACAAGCCGGCGGAAAATCATGTCTCCACCGATTGGCAGATTGGCCGTTGGCGACTACTTGGTATAAGTAGTGTGCAAGTAGTGGGCCACACCAAATTACACGAGACAGCAAATCACAGATGTTAATACACAAATGCACAAGCGTCCATAGCGGGCTTAGCGCGCTGAAGTTGCCTCTCCAGTTTGCGCGGGACTTCGCAGTATTTGCGTGAAGCCAGAAGGGCTGTTCACTCGTCATTCCAATCTCCAGATACTATTGCAAAAATTTCACCACATTCACGTCCCCCAATTTCTTCAGGCTAGCAAGCACCCCTCTCGAACGTGAACGTCGTCAAACTCGTCGCAGCCAACGCTAGCACCCAAGTCCCATTCGTAGCCTCCGTCGCTGGATCCACAGTCGCAAAGTCCTCATCAGCGGACGTGCGCACGGCCGTTGTTGCGCAGACGACGTCGGGGAAGGTGAGCGTAGCGTTGACAGGATCCGTGGCTGGATTCATGGCGAGGACATGGTAAGAATCTGAGGTAGAGACTACCAGAGTGGTGTTCGAGGCGTCGTCTCCGGTGACGATATTGCGCTGGCTGCCGGCTGTAGAGAGACAGCGGTCAGAAGGTCTGAGGTATGCGATGTCAAGGGCGGGAAGGTGAGACTTACGCTTCACGAAGTTGCCGAAGTGCTTGTAGGTCCAGAAGTGTTTCGTCAAGTCTGTTAGGCGCGAACACAAATGTCGGTGAAGTGAACGAAGATAAACTTTGTTGAGAGACCTTACAGAGTTCGTAGTTCCCATTCGTGGCGTAATTTGCATCGTAGTAGATGACTCCGTCCTAAACGCACCACATCTTCTCGTCAGCCATCGGAACAGTCAATGAGAGACGGGGTGTCCAGAAGATCATCACTTACGGTCCATCCCTCAGCATTAGGTACGGTGGGGTCACAGGTAGAGTTGTCGCCAGGCGTGCAACCAATACCGTTCGACACCAAGGTCCAGAACTACATCGTCAAGGTCGGCGTGTACACGCAGAAAGGATAATGATCTGTGGACTGACGTCGTAGTGAGGCTCACCAGCCAGAACGAAGCTCTGGAGAACCATGCCGGAGAACATCAAAGCATTTGTGATCCTGTCCAAGCCGTGTCAATGGAGTCCATTAGATGGTCCAGGCCAACTCATCGTTTGGTGCACCACACCACTCACGTAGGGTCATAGCCTCCCGACCATCCACGCCCAGTCCCATTCGCCTCTCCCAATGAGCAGCAGACTTCCTGTGTAATTCATGAGAATGCCGAGTGTCAATGATTTCGTCCGGTAGTGAGGGAATCGTGACGACGTACCGACATCCAAGTGTCGACACCAGGATAATTCGTGTGCACATCATCGATATACGACAGATAGGATGCATCCGTCGGGAAATCACTATGCTTCCTTATCAGCTTAATGGCCACCTTTATCATTTGCAGAAGGATATGCGTACTAAGTGTGATGGCAGAGTGCCGAGACCTACAAGAAACAGAAATAGCATTGTGGGTTAGAGACTTCATAAACGATCTAATTCAAACAGTGGGAGATCGGCATGAGGACGCACCTTGTCTTGGACTTGAGGAAGCCAAGTAGAATATTCGCTCGTCGCCCTACTGAGCGAAGAAGATTCATCTACGATGATACCCACCACATCGGTCAAGTTATTATTCGTTAGGGCTTCGTATAATCCCTCCACGACTTCCGCCCTCTGTGATGCAATATGGTCAACATTGCCCATTTTCCCTCTCGGACAGAAAGCGGAAAACGGGTTGGGGCCACCAACTGACCTGGTTCGGATCGACCTCCATACCCTCCTGAGAACAAGGCGAGGGACCAAAATTGTTATCGGGCTCGTTCATGGGCGATACCCTCGTGATGTTCACGCCTTCGGCTCTCCAATGGGAGATCACGTCCGCGACGAACGTCCCATATTCCAGACCAGTACCTGATTTGGCCCAATATTTTCGTCAGTCAGTTCGCACAACGTACCAGATAGGCGAAGGGTGGAGGATCAAAGTCGCAGGAGGATATACAACGATGCGAATGCAGATAGGACGAAATCGCAAAAACAATATATGGCGCATTCAGACAGACTCACCATTAACAAAACTCCCATTACAGCTCGCGCCCCCCGACGTCAACGGCGCCGGCGCGCTGTTCACAAACGCAGTGATCGACGGAACACCATACGCCGCCGCCTCCAGCATGAAATACACCCCGCTCGCGTCCGCGCTCCAGTTGTACACGCCGGGAGAGACGTAGAAGGTCTCGATGGCGCGGGTCGGATTTTCCGTTACGTTGACACCTGGATATAAGTTTCCATCATGCATTCGCGTCAGTAGCTGGGTATTAGGAGATCTTCTCTCGCTCCGCATTTTTCACTCGGAAAGAATCGAGTGTATAAGAGAAGATGAAGGGAAAGAACCGTACCTCCGCCCCCAACATTATATCTATAACTAGAAATCCCCATCCCATCCTCACTAAACAACAACGCACTCAAGTTCTTCTTCACCTCATCCGGGTAGAGATACAGATCGGTAGGCCACCATGCGCCCGAACCTCCTATCCCCAGAAAGGTCTGTGCGACTTCGGAAGAGACGGTCGCTGCTGTGACGTGTTGAGGAGCAAGAATGCCAGAGAGGATGGAGAGTGCTGTCGCGACTGAGGAGGAGAGAAGATGGGGAGGGGAGAGCATGGTTGTGAGGATGCCGGTCACTGTTCGTCCGAGATGAGAAGTCCAACTATAAACTGGGATAGGGGGAAAGGGGCCTGGTCAGTTGCTCGGAAGGAGGACGCGCGACACATGGAAGGCTACTCTTATATATGAGTACGGGACCTGAAGCTCCCTGAATGCCTGGTCATCCGTCGGGAATATAGATAGAAATCTGGACGAGCATTGAATGACGAAGGCGAAATGAAAACAGACCGACGATAGAGGAGCGACGGACTCTGTTCACGGTCGATACAAGTGATACGAGCGAGATTATAGCCACATACATAGCTTGCCACGTCGGTGTATCACAGACGAACAGTCGATAACGGATTGTCGGATGAATTGCTTGATTGTTGACCGGGGAGTGTTAGGTACGGAAATAAGGGAAGCAAAGCGTGTCGTGTGGTCGAAGCATGCTTCACGATTCAGATAGTACCTTTCGCGCGGTCCGGGGACTATCCGTCCCCGTAACCTCTGACTGGCCGAGTTTTACATGTAGGTCTTGAGGAAGGGGAAGAAGTCGGTCATGGCCCAAGGGATGGTCACGAGCGCAGACAAGAAGTTGCAGGTCGAGGAGTACGACGGCGCGCAGGTCAGGCGAAGATATCAGTGCATATCACTCCTTCGTCGATCCTGCACGAGACTGACTTCGAGGTCGAGTTCTCCAGGGACCAGCAGTCCGCCGCGATATCGAGATAGAAGGCTAAAGGATGGTCGGAGATATATACATACGTCATGCGGCAGTACACCTTGGTTGTATTGTATGCGTCGACCTGCAAACAAAAAGTCAATTTATCGACCCTATCGGCAAATACAACGCCCAAGAGCGATGCAACCAGTTAAGAGGGGAATATATACCTCTGAATTCTGTCGTATAACGGTTAGCACAATTTTTCTGCAAGAAAGTATAACATCGCGGTCAATCCATGGCGGCGAAGACGGACCGGGCCGGGTGGTCCGAGTGCGATAGGGGCTTTCAGACGTTCCGGCAATTCTAGCCATGCGAGACAATTTAAAGGGTTTCGTAGGTGTGCTCAGGCTGTTACACATACACAGTCAGGTATATCTGCGTTCTACATTGGAGGTTCTACAGTTGTCTGCATAGAAAGAACAAGCGTCAGCAACAAACCAACACCGTCCGCCACGTACTCTTTAGCTGAGAGGGAAAGCTAGAAGACAGCGTACCCATATATTCTACCTCTCTGCACGCACGGTACACATGTAACGTCCAAGGAGTCTCTAAGCCTTCACCAAATCCGCCAACTCCGGCACCACATCGCCGCCCTTGCCCTTCGCGAGATAATCTCTCGCGTTCGCCAACGCTCTGATCTCCATCTTCTTCTGCGAATCCTGCGTCTCTGTCCCCATGTGCGGCAACAGCGTCGCGTTCTTGAATTCGAGCAGTTTCGGGTTCACGTTCGGTTCATCTGGGTAGACGTCTAGGCCTACGGCGCCGAGCTGTTGCAGCAGCACACAGAGATCAGTAACCACCGAGGGAGAGGACGCGATGAAAGAGGAAGAAACAAACGCACATGTCCATCCTCCAACGCTCTAATCAAAGCCTCTTCATCAATAACCTTCCCCCTCGCCGTGTTGACAATGACCGCCCCCTTCTTCAACTTCCTAATCATCTCCTCCCCCACCAACCCCTCCGTCTCCTTCCTCAACGGCACATGCACACTCAACACATCCGCCTCCTTCAAAAACTCATCCAGTCTCTCCTTGCCATAATACTCGCACCAACTCGGTGCACCAGGGACCGGGTTCCGATTGTGGTAGATCACGCGCATGGGGAAGGCGTGGACGAGTTCTGCGTAGCGGAGGCCTATGCCGCCGAGACCGAGGATGGCACAGGTGCGGGAGGTGAGGTCGTGTGCGAGGCCGGCGACGAGGGGCGATTTCCAAGTGAGGGAACGGAGGGAACGTTCGGCGAGGGAGAAGTTGCGGAGGGAGGAGATGGTGAGGTAGAGGGCTGTGGTGGCGGTGGCGTCGTCGACGGCCCCGGGAGTGTTGGAGACGATGATGCCTGGGAGATATATCAAAAGAAGGTCAATACGGATGGTTGAGTGGACCGATGTGAGTGTCGATGGCAACACTGACCCTTTTCCTTGCAGGCTGCGACATCGATCTGGTCGTATCCGGCTCCGTTGTGGGCTGGATAGGGGTAAGCGGTATGTGAGCTGCACAGATGACGAGATTCTAAGAAGGAAGTGAGAACAAGATGGCGTACCGATCCATTTGACGGAGGTGGATAACGCAGCGATAATCTCTTTGTCAAAGATACCTATCCTGTCGGCCGAGGTGTTATGTCTGTAAACGGCGACGATGCCTTCATACTTTCCGCCAGGCTTGAGACCAGTCAAGAAATCTGAACGATTTTGAGAGTCCATGAGCTAGGTAACGAGGACCATGAGTATGAATCAATAACTATCAGTATAGGTAGACGTACGACAATCTCTGCGATACCGTCGAACATCTGCTTTGCCTCCTCGTGCGCCCATGCGAGATCACCTTTAGAATAATCGTAAATCAGGTCGTTTTCATGAGAAATTTGGGTACTGAACATACCACAGATGAGCACTTTGGGGGCCATATTTGCAGCTGTCTATAGATGTGATGAGGGAGGTATTGTGGGTTGTATTTCGAAGGGTGAAAGATCGTTCCCTCGATCGACTCGAATTGGGCCACTTATAACTTCCAATTCGTAGGGGGGAGCGGAGTCGGACCGTTCTTCCGTGGACATATGAGAACATATGACGATTCGGAAACAAGACGAGGGGAAAGAAAACCAATCAGGGCCCTCGACGTTCGCAGCGGGGACGAAGACAAGTCCGAAGGACGGCAGAGACAGTGCATGGAGGAAGAGAAAGATGTTCGAGTGGGATGGAGTCCGGTCCGAGTTACTTTTGCAGCTGGGCGGTAATAAATTGATTGAGCGTCTAGGGTTAGGGGCTCGCAGTTACGGCACCGGACGACGATGGGCTTCGCGTGCAATAAGCAGGCGCGACGGCCTGGGGCACGTCGCTGTGCTCCTTAACCATGACGAACACGACACAGACCCTTCAAATTACGTCGAATAAAAAACAGGCGACGCTCGCACTCGTAGATGGTATTTTCTCTGTGAAGAACAACAGTCGGTCCTCCTGCTATTTAACCATGAATTAACCTTGTATACTCACATTCAGCTGCGCTCTAAAGCAGGTCAATGTCTAAAACTGAGCGTTCCCGTACAGCGCGTATTATGGGCAGAATGTTCCCCAGCATCGTCTCAGGTCACCGTGCATGTTCTGGCGAAAGAGAAGAGGACGAAGATATCCAGACTGCTGAAGATAGAAGGTTCTCTGACCGAACAGGATCTCGAGCAGGGGAAGCGGTGGACGCAGGCTCTGATGGATGCTGCTTATGCGGGTCAGTCTCTTTCGGATGGAACGCATGCGGTCGTGCTTGAAATAACGTGTGGGCGTATGTGGTAGGCATCGAGCAGAGGAGGAGGTTGAGGGTGTTCGTCAATCCGCATGCTGGTCCGGTATGTACGTCTCCCTTGTCCTTGTACTTGTTGTGTCCTGGATAATATGACTATCCACAACTTGAACACGGTTTACTAACCCTCTTCTACTCATAGGGAAAAGCACGCTCCCTCTTCCGCAAGAGAATTGAACCCGTCCTCCTCGCCGCTAAATGCACTCTCGACGTAACATGTTCGTCCCTCATTTCCAACATCTCATCTTTCACCGTCCTCTCACGTTCATAACACAACATCACATAATCTCACCTTACTTCTCTCTCCGCGCATCCGCAGATACCACCCATTCCGCCCACGCCCTCTCCCTCGCCCAAGAAATCCCACTAAACACATACGATGCCGTTCTCGTCGTCTCCGGCGATGGCATGGCGCACGAAGTCTTCAATGGGTTCGCGACGCATAAGGAGGACCCGATGAGAGCATTAGAGAGTTTACCCATCGTACCTATACCGGCAGGGAGTGGGAATGGATTGAGTCTTAATTTGAATGGCGTGGAGGTGAGCTTTTTGGGGGTTTAGTATGTTAGTTGGGTTGTGTGCGGATTTGGGAGAGTTGACTTGTTGAGGTGTAAAGGGCTGCATTGGACAGTGGAATTAGACGAGACTGACACCACGTATTATTTTGTGTAGGAAGGCCTCGACGTTGCCGTGGCCACGCTCACAGCGATCAAAGGTTTGCACTTCCTAATAAATAATAATAATACTGGCCACTCACCTCTTAGCTTTGCTCACTTTTCCACATGCAGGTCGTCCCATGCCCGTAGACCTCTTCTCCATCCTCACACGGAAAGACAACAAACGGAGTCTGTCTTTCATGTCTCAATGTGTAGGCCTGATGGCAGACTTGGACCTTGGGACGGAACATTTGAGGTTCTTGGGCGCGACGAGGTTCGTTTATGGGTATTTGAGGGGAGGTAAGCATCTCCCGCTCGCTTTGACTTCCATCTTTACCGCTCTCTTCGCTGACCCTTTTTTTCTTTCTGAATTTTGGCTCGGTGGGTTTCATGATGTGGCGTGTGGCGTTCCTCGTGTGGCGTCACGTCGCGAACAGTACTAACACAGAAGAAATGCCCCGTCTCAATATCCATCAAGACCATCGAATGCGACAAAGAAACAATGTTCGAGGCGTTTCGTTCCGCCACTTCAACAACAGCACCCGCTGATCCATCCACTGCGTCACCCGTGTCAGCGCCCGGGTCCTCGTCACATCATCAAGACGAGAGCACTAACCCCATTATTTCTAACGGGCACCCGCCAGAAGGCACGGGCGCAGGACCAGGAGTGGCAGTAGGACAGGGAGAAGGAGCGGAAGGTAGGAGTTCGAGTTTGCCGCCGATGAAGTATAATTTCGAGAATGCGGAGGGGGACGGGTGGATGAAGTTTGAGAAGGGGATATGTTATGTGTATGCGGGTAAGGGACCTTATGTCAGCCGGTGAGTTAGAGCCTTTCGAACGTCTGCTGTTTTTCTTCGGGTTGGCGTTCGCCTCCTTTGACGCGCTCGGTCACGTCGAGCTTGATCCCAGGCTGTGCGGACTGAGCGATTGAGGGTTATGGCTGAAAACTATCACTTGCTTCGAGGAGAGCTACCTATGCCCGATATGCTGACTCACACTTTCTTTCTGGGCGTGGTGTGCGTGGACGATAGGGATTTCATGCAATTCCCGATTTCGCTACCGAACGATGGGGCGATCGATGTCGTCATCCAAGAGCCAGTGAGTATTCCTCCTACGCGTACGAAAATGTTGTTCCGAGTGTTCGTATTTCGCTAACGGCGAATGCGATATAGGGATCGAGGGGAGAAATGCTCAGGTGGATGGACGGCGCGGACGCGGGGAAATGTTACTGGCAGCCAAATGTGAGTCTTTGACCTCACTTCATCTCACCTCGTCACCTTCGTTCCTCGTATCTCTGTTCCTCCGTCTTGTACTAACCATACTCACGCACCTACCTCGCAAACAGTGCCATTACTACAAAGCGGCCGCGTATCGGATCACACCCCACCCTCCTACCTCGTCCTCCTCTCCCTCGACTTCGGCCCCAGCAGCAGCAGAGCCTTCAAACGGCGTGGATCATCCCAAACCGACATCGACAACCCCAAAGCGCTCCCACTCCATCGCCAGGTCTCACAAACGCCCGACCCCGAGTCTAGGTCCCAAGCCCACGAATGCGGTCCCGCATTCGGTGGCGGAGGGAAACCTGTCGGTCGACGGCGAGAGATTCCCGTATGATGAGTTTTTGGTGGAGGTGCATCCGGGTTTGGGGAGGTTCTTGAGTCTGTGGGGCGGGTATCGGGCGGATTTTAAGAGAGAGTGAGGGGGTTTTGTGGCTAGAAGGATGATGGCACGATGGAGGATGGGCGTGTGAGATGGAGGGAGATATGGAGAAGATGGTAAGGCGAAGAGGGAGAGGGGAGGCCAAGACGGACATTTAACATTGAATTTTTCTGCCCTATGTGCGGATTCCGGATTGACTTTGCGTCTTTACATTATACCCTCCTTCGTAGGTCATGGCATGCTGGTCGATTGTTTATTCATTACTTTTTTGTTTTTACTTATGCGGACTCGCTGGCGGACGTGGGTTGATTTGGGCGTAATGCAGCCTTGACACTTTTCGAGGCAGAGGTAGTAGGACCCGAGTCCGGAGCTCTTCGTTGTCCATATCGACCTCGTATTGAGCTTGAAAGCTGAACTCAGGACCCGCGCACGATGACAAGAAGCAAAATCTTGTGCAGAATTCGGATTTATATCACGAACGATACATGCGCGCACACTCCTCCTTCGGATACATCCACGAATCTCCGGTAATATCACAAACAAGAAGCACAAGGGAATTCAGCCACCTGTAAGTGAGCGTCTGTTGGCTTCGCTCAGAGGATCGGACCCTGAGGTACTAGAGCCCCTGGACCACGGCAAGGTCGACGCTCTCCCAGGGGTCGCTTGGTTGATGACGACTCGTGATACCGGTGATCAGAGCGTCGAGCGTCTTGTCCTTGAGGTCGTCTTACCCACACTCACACGCCTGTAAAAGCAACTAAACGAGACGCATCAGAAAAGACACATGAAACGAAACGCAAGATCCACTCACCATTTAGTAGGCGTTTGTTGGCTTCCCCCAGAGGATCGGACTCTGAGGTACTAGAGCCCCTGGACCACGACAAGGTCAACGCCATACCAGGGGACCGGTTTTGAAGCTTTTGAAGCCCGGTGTCGATATTGTGTTGGATGTCGGTGTCGTCGTCGTCGAGGTCGCCTAGCTCCAGCAATACCAGCCCCAGTCCCAGCGACCTAGAAGCCAAGCCCACCAGAGCCGGCAGACCAAGAGACCAAGAGAGCCAGCAGACCCAGAGACCCAGCACAAGACACCCCACCGCCGTCGGGTGTTGATGTCGTGCTTGATTGGAGTCGTCGGCCGGAGTCGTCGTCGTGCTCAACTGTTGGGATCAGAGTGTTGGTGTCGTCGTTGATGTCGCCTAGCTCCAGCAAGGCCAGCCCCAGCCCCAGCAACCTGGAAGCCAAGCACACGAGAGCCAGCAGACCCAGAGACCCAGCCAATGTCACCCCAGGGACCGCCGTCGGGTGTTGATGTCGCGCTTGATTGGAGTAGTCGACTGGACTCGTCGTCGTGCTCGACTGTTGCGACCAGAGCGTCGATCATCTTGAGTTTATCAGACTCACGCTCACACATCTGAAAGGAAGCTGTATAAGATCCGTGAGAATATATACGCGTCGAAGAACACAACCACTCACCTGTTAGCAGACGTCTGTTGGCTTCGCTCGGAGGGCTGGACTCCGAGGTACTAGAGCCCCCGGACCACAACAAGGTCGAGGCCATACCAGGGGAGAGGCCCAAGCTTAAGACTCGAAATAAGCATAGAGGGATGGAGATATCGGAGACGGCCCAAGGGTGTCGCCGTAGAGGAGATATTATACGAAGCAGAGAGAAAAGAGAAAAGCGAGAGAGTAGGGAGAGAAACGGATGTCGCCTAAGCTTGAGAGCAAGGACGAAGGACGATGATGGGTGGGTGGGTGGGCGGGCGGGCGGGCGGAGAGAGTAACGGCGAAGGAAGAGGTCGTCTGAAGCAGAAGTGTCGCCACAAGTCACGAGAGCGCCGACCAGTAACTGAAGAACCTTAGGATATCCACATCTGTGAAAGCTGTAAGAACTGGTCAGGGCAGTGTATACGCGTTGAGGAGAACAGAAACTCACAGGTCAGTAGTCTCTATCCTGCGAGCGTCTGTTAGTTGCCCCCAGAGGATCGGACTCTGGGGTACTAAAGCCCCTGGACCACGACAAGGTCGACGCTCTCCCAGGGAAGGCTCGGTTGAAGACGATGATGCCGAAGATCAGAGCGTCGAGCATCTTGAACTTGACGTCTGCTTACTCTCACATACACACACATCTGTTACAAAAAAGAGAATGTCAGCGCAGTCATGATGTTCGCGTCAAAGAATAACAGACTCACATATTTAGATACGTTTCACGTAGCGTCTGTTAGTTTCGTGTCGGACATCGGCCGTGCAGTCACACGCCTGTGAGTGAATCGAGAGGAAATCAGCAATATAGTATGAAGTAGGAAACGTACCTTGAGAGCGTCTGTTAGTTTCCCCCAGAGGATCGGACTCTGGGGTACTAAAGCCCCTGGACCACGGCAAGGTCGACGCTCTCCCAGGGGAGGGGCTCAAGCTGAAGACTTGAGACAAGCATAGAGAGATGAATATAGAGATGGCCCAAGGAAGAGTAAAGAGGAGAGCGAGAGAGAGAAGAGCGAGAGCGTAACGAGGAGAGCGAGAGCGAGAGCGTAAAGAGGAGAGCGAGAGCGAGAGCGTAAAGAGGAAAGCGAGAGTGAAAAGATGAGAGCTAAAGCGAAAGAGTGAGAACGTAGATGCCCTGTAGGAGAATCTAGAGGAAATCAGCGACATGATTTCAAGTAGGAAACGTACCTTGCGAGCGTCTGTTAGTTTCCCCCAGAGGATCGGACTCTGGGGTACTAAAGCCCCTGGACCACGGCAAGGTCTACGCTCTCCCAGGGGACCGGTCTTGAAGCTCGTTGGAGCTCGGTGTCGAAGTCGTGCTTGATCTCGCTCGTGAGGTCGATGTCGATGTCGTACTTGAGCTCGGTCGTGAGCGATGTTGATGTCGTACTTGAGCTCGGTCGTGAGGTCGATTTCGATGTCGCCTAGCCCTAGAAAGACCAGCCCAAGCCCAGCAACCTAGAGACCAAGCCCGCGAGACCCAGCAGACGAAGAGAGCAGCCAGACCCAGCCCAAGATGCCCCAGAATCCCAGCCCAAAATACCCCAGAGACCGCCGCCGGTTGTTGACGTCGTGCTTGAATGGAGTCGTCGACCGGACTCGTCGTCGTGCCCGAGTGTTGACGGTCAGGGCGTCGATCGTCTTGAGCTTCGTAGCTGAAATAAAACTGAACAGAACGAGTCAAAAGAAATATGAGGATTGAAGCACGAATCCACTCACCTGTTAGTAAGCGTCAGTTGGCTTCGCTCAGAGGATCGAACTCTGAGGTACTAGAGCCCCTGGACCACGGCAAGGTCGACGCTCTCCCAGGGGTCGCTTGGTTGACGACGATGATGGTGGTGATCAGAGCGTCGAGCGTCTTGCACTTGAGGTCACCTTACTTACACACACTCACACACACTCACACATCTAGGAAACTGAAGAGACTGTCAGCGAAGTCGTGATGCTCACATCGAAGAAGAAGACTCACCGAACATTAATATGTTACCGTGGTCGTACAATCACACGCCTGTAAGAGAATCTAGAAAACATCAGCGACAAATTATCAAGCAGGAAACGTACCTTGCGTGCGTCGGTTAGTTTCCCCCAGAGGATCGGACTCCGGGGTACTAAAGCCCCTGGACCACGACAAGGTCGACGCTCTCCCAGGGGAGGCTCGGTTGAAGACGATGATGCCGGTAATCAGAGCGTCGAGCGTCTTGCACTTGAGGTCATCTTACTCACACTCACACATCTGTAGGAAACTAAAGATACTGTCAGCGAAGTCGTGACGCTCATATCGAAGAAAAGACTCACCGAACATTAATATATTACCGTGGTCATACAATCACACGCCTGTAAGAGTATCTAGAGAACATCAGCGACAAATTATCAAGCAGGAAACGTACCTTGCGAGCGTCGGTTAGTTTCCCCCAGAGGATCGGACTCCGGGGTACTAAAGCCCCTGGACCACGACAAGGTCGACGCTCTCCCAGGGGAGGCTCGGTTGACGACGATGATGCCGGTAATCAGAGCGTCGAGCGTCTTGCACTTGAGGTCGTCTTACTCACACGCACACATCTGAAGGAAACTAAAGACACTGTCAGCGAAGTCGTGACGCTCATATCGAAGAAAAGACTCACCGAAACATTAATATATTACCGTGGTCGCACAATCACATGCCTGTCATCGAATCTAGAGGAAATCAGCGACGTAGGATT